TTTCTTTCTTTCTTTCTTTCTTTCTTTCTTTCTTTCTTTACAATGCTATCATTCTTTTCTATATTTTTCAACATTGTAATACCTATCTTTCTTTCTTCTTTCCTTCTCTCTTTCATTCTTTCCTTCAGTCTGTTTCGCTTTCATTCTTTCCTTCTGTCTTTCTTTCTTTCATTCTTTCTTTCAATGTTTTCTGTCGTGTTAGTTCTCTTTCATTCATTTTCTTATGTTTTTACCATTTCCTTAATTTTCTTTATTTTATTGCATTTACTTCATATCTACTCTTCTTTCTTTCTTCCTTCCTTTCTTAATTTCTTTCTTTCTTCTTTTTTTTAATATTGTAATTCTTTTCTATCGTTTTCCAATGTTTTAATATCTTTCCTCCTTCCTTCCTTCCTTCCTTCCTTCCTTCCTTCCTTTGTTTGTTTGTTTCTTTGTTTCTTTCTTTTTTTTCCAATGTTGTAATTTTTCTTTCATTTTCCAATGTTTTTATATCTTTCGTTCTTTCCTTCCTTCCTTCATTCATTCCTTTCTTTCTCTTTTCTTTCTTTCTTTCTCTTTTCTTTCTTTCTTTCTTTTCAACAATGTCATTCTTTTCTATCATTTTAAAATCTTTCCTTTTCCTTTCTTGCTTCCTTCTTTCATTTATTCATTCATTCCTTCCTTTTTGTTTGTTTCTTTCTTTCTCTTCAATGTTATCATTATTTTCACTTTTTTGCAATGTTTTAATAAAATACCATCCTTTATTCCTTTCTTCATTTCTTTCTTTCTTTTCAATAATGTCATTCTTCTCTATCATAGAAAAAAGTTTTAATATATTTCCTTCTTTTTCCTTCCTTCATTCCATTTTTCTTTCTTCCTTTCGTTCTTTCTTTCTTTCTTTTTTCCTCCTTTCTTCCTTTCCAATATTGTCATTCTTTTCTTTCATAAAAAAGGTTTTTATATCTTCCTTCCTTCCTTCCTTCCTTCCTTCCTTCCTTCCTTCTTTCTTTCTTTCTTTCTTTCTCATGTTTTTCATCCTTAACTCTGTTTATCCAACATTTTAATGTCTTTCCTACTTTCTTTCCTTCCTTCCTTCCTTACTCACTTCCAGCCTTCATTCATTCATTCATTCATTCATTCATTCGTTTCTTTCTTTCTTCCTTTCCTTTTTCTTTCTTTCTTTCCAATGTTATCATTCTTTTCTATCATAGAAAAAAGGTTTTAATATATTTCCTTCTTTCTCCCTTTCTTACTTCCTTCCTTCATTGCTTTCTTTCTTCTTTTTTCTTCCTTTCTTTCCAATTCTGTCACGTTTTAATATCTTTCCTTCCTTCCTTTTTTCTTTTCCAATAGTGTCATTATTTCCAACGTTTTAATATATTTCCTTCTTCTTCCGTCCTTCCTTGCGTCCTTCCTTGATTCCTTCATTTCTTTCTTTCTTTCTTTCTTTCTTTCCTTCTTTCTTTCTTTCTTTCCTTCTTTCTTTCTTTCTTTCTTTCCAATGTTATTCTTTTCTATCGTTTTCCAACGGTTTAATATATTTCCTTCTTTCTTTCTTTATTTATTTATTTCCAATGTTGTCATTCTTTTCTATCTTTTTCCAGTGTTTTAATATCTTTCCTTTATTCTTCCTTCCTTACTTCCTTCCGGCCTTCTTTCCTTCATTCCTTTCTTTCTTTCTTTTCTTTTCTTTCTTTCTTTCTTTCTTTCTTTCTTTCTTTCTTTTCAATGTTGTCAATCTTCTCTATCGTTTTCCAACGTTTTAATAATACCTTCTTTTCTTCTTTCTTTCCTTCCTTCTCTCCTTCCTTCCTATTTTCCTTCCTTTCTTTCTCATCATTTATAATAATGGAATTAAAATCAGTGTAATTCGCCAATTTTCTAAATGTAAAAGATCTTCCACCATTCGACATTTTGTCTTCTACCTGGGATCGAACACTGACACAAATGTAAAAAGATATAAACTGTCCCTCTCTCGCCGTTTGTTTCTTCTCAACTCTGATCACCTGCCTTTCAAATATCTTCCCCCCAATTCTCTTCTCGTCTTTCCATCAATGTTTGTAAACAAAAAATGAAACCCCTCCCCCAAACAGTGACTCACTCATTCGTCTCCCATGACATCAAACTAAGCTAGCGAAACGAAGGGAAATTCCGGCTTCTATTAATAACCCAGTGACTCACTCAAACATCGAAGGTGATTAGATATTGGCTCGTAAGAGACGCTGACAGGTGATTGGTAGATAAACGGAGGCAGGACCCTCCGGAGTTTGCCTCGATTTCGATAGAGATGTATTTATTGATAATGAACAGCATCTGGGCGTCTCCCTGATTGGTTTATGCAATCTGTCAATCTAGTAATTTATCATCGATCGGACGATCCGATCGCTAAGTTTTTATCGACTTCTCCATCGCTTTATGTTTACAAACATCAAATGCTCGTGTAATTAATACACCAATATAAGAAAACAGTTATATTTTTAATAAATAACTAACCAAAGACGTACACACAGTTTTAAATAGGTGCCCCCAAATATATGAATATAATTCTATGTGTGTATGTGTGTGTGTGCGTGCGTTTATAATTATATATAATCATATATATTTATATATATATGCATCTATATTACTGTAAACGTTACTTTTTTAGCGAATACCCATGTTTGAGTAGACTCCCAAATGTAAACAAATTTTTTTTTTTTAAGCGCATGTATTACGTCTACGGCCTACGCATTTGAGAGACTTAAAGGATTTGTACTCTAAATAGAGGCACGGTGGAGTAATGGATAGAGGAATCGAAGAGACGAGTTCGAATTCCAGTCTAACCCATTACATTCACTTATGTGCTAATACCCTTGGGAAATGTATGTATCCTCTTCTTCTCCCCCCCCCCAGCTATGGGTAAATAGCAGGACAGACAGGGTTGCCTTGGATAGTAACTGGTCTACCGCAGAAAGAAATGGCAACGCAATTGACTGACTCTAAGTAGCGACATGCGTTCAAACCCTGACGGAGAGTACATTTTCTTCATTAAGGGTTTCGAATGCGCTGGGCGGCTGACGTCATTCACACTGTTTAAAAAATCAGGGAGTCTAAGTAAACACGGGTACCCATAAAATAGAATAGTATGAAATAAAGTTGATTTAAAAATAGAATCCATTAATAGCTTATCTATCTAGCTACACACATACATATATTTTTCGTTCATCTTTCATTAAATACTTGAATATTAATTAATTTTTTATGAAGATTTTTTTCCCTGCATCCTTGAGTTTTTCCGTTTTTAGGGATAAAGGAGTACAAAAATGTTCAATAATTTTCATTGTCCCAAGCGCTTTCGTCCATTTCTCTAGCCATTTTCAAATATGTTTTGTCTCTGGTGTTATTAGTTTTTTCTCATGTTTTGACTGCTACGTTGTAATTTGTTTTTGTTTTGTTTTGAATAGGAGCGTTCATTCCTAGCCTTCACGTGTTGAGCGTAGCTGGAATTCGAAAGGAGTGTCTTTCCATTTTTAAAACACTTTTAACACTCCATTTCCACTGTTTGATAATCTGAAGTTAATAGCAAGAGAGAAATGTTTGATATACACGGCCTCTCTAATAGCAAGATGTTTCTGATAATGTGATTTATATAGAATACTTGTGATTTCAACCAGAATTTTTCTTAAGATTTCTAGTAAATTATGGTTTGATAGATGTTTTTTTTTTTATAGTACTTTGGTCTAATAAGTGACACTTGTACTGGGCAGTGAAATTGATACACTATATTGGTCATTGCTAGTTTAGTTTTTATGGGGTTATTTTTATTAGTGACAAGGTTTGCGGTCTTCCATTTTCTGTAACATTTTGTAAATTTTACATGTTTTTCGGGAATAATGATATATATATATATATATATATATATATATATATATATATATATATATATATATATATATATATATTATTAGTGGAAAATATACATACATATGCAAAATATATAAAAATATATAAATACCCATACATGTATATTTTCAGAAAAAAAAATTTTCCCAGAGGAAGAATCCAGGCAGGACTCAATGTCTAGGACAGAGTAAAGGATATAATAAAAAGGCTTAAACACTAATATTCCATGGTCATTTTGAATTTGTAGGTCTGATGAATTGGATCGTATTTACGATTCCAATGGAATAAATTATAACCATGGAATATTAGTGTTTAAGCCATTTTATTATATATATATATATATATATATATATATATATATATATATATATATATATATAATCACTAAAAAGAATGTCTCCTGTCTGCTTGGCTGATGCTAATCTACTTCTTTTTAGGTTCACGTCTGACATGGAGTGAAATTATTATATTGAATCAATTGCTAGATCTGCTGCTAGGAAAGATGTTTCACTGTGTCGTGCTAGAGAATTCTTCTTATCAGAATAAATCTTAGACATTTATAAATCTGTCATTCCTCCATGCATTGAATACTGCTGCCAGATCTTATAGAGATTCTTGACAAAATTCAAAGAAGGCTCAATAGTATATTCGATCCTGACAAGGCATATCGGATTCAATAACTTTCTCACCGACGTGATATGCCTTCTCGCTGTCTTTTCTACAAATATTTTCATGGCAACTGTTCTGTTGAGCTTTTTTTTTTCTTGCTGTTTCGACTGAATGAATTTAAGCGTACTACTAGATTGGCGTGTAGGTCCCACAATTTCAGTATTGAACTAGCTAGAAGCAACCGACATTAATGTTCTCAGTTACTTTTCTCACACTTCTCACCTTCCGATTTCTTGCTTCTCTACCACTCTCAATCTTAAAAAATTTAGATGCAACGTCAATAGTCATTTTCTTTCTTCCTGAGGCTTGTTCATTTATTGTCCTTTCCTCATTTCTTCTCACTAAAGTGTTCTCATTCTCTTTCACCTAATAACATTATCGCCTTGCTTTGGCTGAAATTATTAATATATATATATATATATATATATATATATATATATATATATATATATATATCAATTTGTTCATATATGTGTGTGTGTGTATGTGTTAATATTCATATCTATCTATCTATCTATCTATCTCCTTTCTGTTCATCTATCTATCTATCTCCTTTCTGTTCATCTATCTATCTATCTATCTATCTATCTATCTATCTATCTATCTATCTATCTATCTATCTATCTCCATCTCTTCTATTCATATCTATCTATCTATCTATCTATCTCAATTTGTTCATGATTTGATGCTTTGTTATTTATTTAGCCGGGTCACACTCTTTGGGTCTTGTCACTGGATCTAGCTAACAACTTTATCCACTGTGCCATGTGTTCTCAAGGACAGTGGAGAACTTGGAGAGGGGAATTAACAGGAGATAACTGATAACTGACATCCATTAAAACATGGCACGTAGAACTAGAACAGTCTACCACAGTGAGCGAAATAAAGGGTTCAGTTCGACATTCCAACCACCTGAAGAAGGCTGGAGCGTACAACGGCCGAAACGTTGTAATAAATATGGCGACAAAGATGAGGACAATAGTCCGAATAATATAAGTAGTGTATATAATACCTCATCTCAGAAATATAGACAGATCAATTACGCTGCATGACAATTTCCTCGCAGACGAAGAAAATACATGAGATTACAGAAATGTGGTTATGTAGAAGGAAGTATACCATAGACGAAACATCTGAGTAACTAGGAAGTTTTGAGGAAAACGGAAACAAAAAGTTCACCTATACTTAGAATCAGAAAGAGGTGATTGAAATTTCTAGGAGACATAATGTGGAAAGAAGTCTTAGAAAATTTGATTCTCACAGGACGATTAAAAGCGGAAAAGACAGTGGGAAATAGGAATAGAAAATATGACTCACGGCAGGATTCGAACCTGCGCCCCACTTTACAGGAGGAACCACCGTTTAGGGACTCGGATTTTCTTTATTAAATTTTCTCAAGTACGCAAACCGGTAAACGAAATAAATACTGTTTAAGATAAACTGAGCGTTTACTTAAATGCGGCTATCCACTAAAAGTAACGTTTGAAATAATAAACATTTCTTGGATTAAAAAAAAAAAATTCTTTATTTACTTAAATTATTTATTTACTGAACAGATATGCGTTTCTAGAAAAATCTGAATGACTTTAAATGCAAAATAGAACCATATATTATTGTGAAGCTCTTTGTAGCCGAGCGGTAGAAGCACACCAGATCAGACGCTGGATCTTCCTGCAAACAGGGATGTAGATTCGAATCCTACCGGACGAACCGTCTCTTTAGAAATTCATACCATCCATAAGGGCATATGCCCATAAATGATGAAAACGAACCCGACTGGAATTGGAACTCGGTACTCCAATTTTCAATTCCAAGCTGCTATCCATTACACCATCCACACGTCCAAGCTTACAGCACCTGGTATTCCCAAGTGGTCACCCATCTAGGTACTGACCAGAGTCGACATTGCTTAACTTTGGTGATCATACGAGAACCGGTGTTTCAACGTGATACGGCCGTAAGACTTCGCCAAATGAGCTAGCGACTGGAAATTGAAACCTTTCACGCGTAAATATTTTTAGTTAAGTCAATCAATGAAAAAATCTCCCGCCAAATGTCCATATCATTTGCTACTGTTGCTGCCACTGCTGCTGCAGCGGCTGCTATTGCTTCTATTGCAACTGCGTTCGGGTGAAATGTGGCGAAAATCCGCGCGTGGGAAAACACGTGGACTTGTTATTGTATTGCTCACAATAACGTTTATTATCTTGTTTCATTGTATTCTGCACTTAATATTTCTATTATAGCCAACGTTCTGCCTCCTGCTTGATACAATTCATTGTATAAGGCTTCTAAAGTGTGGATCACTGGATTATTAACATTATTGTATTTTTATTATTCCTTCTATCCACCTCCTCCTCCTCCTTCATCTTCTCGACCATCATTCTAATATGATAATATTTTTATTATTGAATGAGTTTTTTTTTATTATACGACGGGTGCTGAAAAGTTTCGGTCCAACCAAATTCTGATCTTCTTTTCCATTCTGTTTAATACAATCAATTCTCTAGGCATTAGCCGATACTTAGTGTCAAGCAAGGTAGTAAATTTATTAATTCTGTTTGGGTCATTACAAAAGATTTAAGGTAATTAAAGATAGTTAAGTAAAAATACACATTCTTTTTAGCACAAATTCTGATGTTAAGTGCTACTTAACATATTATTATCACTTGTACTATTTAATCAAGTGTTACAAGGTTTTCTATTTTAGAAAGTTTCTTTTGATGAAGTGACAGATTTTAATTAGGATTGAAGACACCTGTCATATTAAAAACAATACATTAAAGGAATCAGAAAGGATACTACATTTTTTTGTAGTTTAGGAAGGTAGATATTCCCAGGATCTATCTGTCAATTTTCTTTATGGATACATTCAGGATTGAAATCAAGTGAGCAAAAGAAATAAAGTCAGCCAGTGATGACTTTAAAGTGATGACTGCAACATCATCATCATTTTCTTCTTTTGCTGTTTAGTACAATCACTTACTAGGTCATTACCAAAGATTTAGGGTAAGTAAAGATAGTTAAGTAAAAATACACATTCTTTTTACACAAATTCAGATGTTAAGTGCTACTTAACATATACAATGTTTATATTTTCTTTACTTTGATAATACTTTCCTGAGTAGATGAGCAATTTCAAAGAGTGCAATTTTTTTATTTTCTTGTAAACAGTGGCTGACAAGGATCCTGTTAATGTGCCTGTCTGTGGCTTTCTTGATTGTACCCAGAGTGCCAATTATTATAAGTATAACAGTAGTTTTTAAGTGTTATATTTTTCAGTTTTAATTTCTTTAACTCTGTATATTTACTTATTTTGATGCATTCTTTAACAGATATATTTTTATCTGATGTCATTGTCATATCTATGAGAAGGCCAGTTTTTTTCTTTCTCTACATCTGCTATCTTAGCTTTTATATGTCTGTCATTATGAATTATTATTATTATTATTATTATTTGCAAATGGATTAGATCATCTGTGATACTCTTATAAATTTGATTTTTGTTTGATGTGAATATTGATGATTGTCAATATTCACATCAAAAAAGCAGTAGAAGATTTTCTGTTTTCAACAGATCTTGCTTTAAAATTCATTTTTTCCGTTTGCATTAATTTCATTATTTCCAGTGCATATCCTCATTTCAAAGATAATTTTACTCTCCATTTACTGTTATCATGATCATAAGTTCATGTATATTACAACCAATAGAAACAATGAGACTGGTGGCTCATAGCAGAGGGATTGAACCAGAAGATTTTAAATGATGGGTCAAACTTTAGTCTTTAGCCACTATATCTAGTCTATTAGCTTTTATGAATGGTAAAGTTTCAAAGAATAGTAATGATTTGAACTTTTATATCCAGGCTATTTTTTCGAGTTAATTTTCTCATATTCTTTAACAGACATATTCCTGATCTATTAACTTTCATGTCTTTCATTTTTTCCGCATGTGGTCAGTCAGTCAGTTATGTGCCATGCGTGATACACGCTTAGGCGATCATGTATCTTTCGATACATAACTGACGAGGCAGATTTTTAGTTTGCCATTTCTTTCTGCGGTATCCCAGTTACCATCAAAGGCTATAGAACCCAGTCTGTCTTGCTATTTACCCATAGCTGGGAGGGGGAGAAAAAGTAGATGCATACCTTTCTCAAGTGTATTAGCACGTAAGTGAATGTAATGGATTCGAATGGATTCGACTGGTATTTGAACTCGGCTCTCCGATTCCTCAATCCGAGCCACTATCCATTACTCCAGGTGGTGCAAAGTAATACTAAGAGATCTTCCATTTTTTTTTGTTTGTTTGCGATCTCTAATAACGATGTCTCAGCGATTAGTTTTGATTGTTCTGTCTGTGTATTGCGAAGTTCCATAAAATTGTTACAGTTCCTACCTCCGTAACCGGGTCTGGGTGGTGTTCATACCAATTTCTTTCAATTTCCTTTCCACAGAAGTTGCAGATATACGCCCACTCTGTTATGACAGGTTTTACTTTCAGTGGGTGCCAATACCGTGCCAGCTGATAAGAGATGGTCAATTGTTTCTGGATATTTATCACATTCTGCATTTTAGGCTTACACAAATTTTCAGTATGTGTGCTTGATAATTTCTAGTTAACAACCATTGATCCTGTGCAGCACAAATAAAATTTTCGGATTCAGCATTTAACCCTGCACTACATAGCCTCTGATGGGTACGAGGTTTGTTTACATCAGTTTGTTTGGTACGGGCAAGCGGTTTATCTTGCCATATGCTTCTCTATCTGCTCGGTTGCATTTACTTTTGCTTTCTTTTTTAAGTATTTTGCAGCTTCAGTCGGTGTATTGTGCTTTACTTGTATTTCTTCACCCATTTGAAACTCCATTTTGAACTTGTTGGCTTCCTTTATTGCCGAATAAAGGCGCTTACTACTTTCATGTTCTTCGACACAGATCATCATCCAATCTTCCGTAGTTTCCAAGTATCTTTTGTACTTTTGTAAGACAGTTCTAGTTGAACTAATCCTCTGCCTCCTTTGGATCTGGGCACATCCATCAATATCAGCTTTGGAATGATGCGTGCAGTGGCAGTGGGGAAACTTTTCCCTAAATCTAATTCTATTGAGTGTGTTTCTATAATTCTCCCTTTCTTGAATGTTACTTTTGCACATTTATCTAATCCGAAATCTATACCTATGTCGTCACTGAAACATTTTACAGTATTGAGGAGACCCTTCAACTTATTGTCATCTTAGGCAAAGAGTTTGAGATCATCCATATAGAGCGGGTGATTGAATACATTCTTTTTTTAGTTTGTAACCATAGCCAATGTTGTTTAGTTCATGCGTAAGGGGAATTAAGGACAGACAAAACAAAAGGGGTGATAGGGAATCTCCTTGAAAGATTCCACGTCGGATATTCAGGCGGTTGGAGATGGCAGTGCCTCTGGTCTGATTTAGGTATAGTGTCGTGTTCCACATTCCCATGCTGTGTTTAAGGAAATTTACTATCACGGGGGAAACTTTGTACATTTCCTTAAAGGTTCTTAAGGTTCCAAGAGTGTGGCACACTATCAAAGGCTTTACGGTAATCAATCCACGCTGCACTAAGATTTCTTCCTTGTTTCCTGCAATTTTCCAGGATCCTTTATTTATCAGTTGTTGAACTTTGCAACCATATGAACCTCTCCTG